GAGGGTCAGAGAAAAAGAGGAAGACCCCCAATGATATGGATCAGCCAGATGACATCATTGATGGCGAGTGTGGCGGCGGTAGTGAGGTTGGCCCAGAATCTGACATTGTTTCGTTCTGCTTTGCATGTGGTCGCTATGAGTTGATTCCGACTCGATGGTACCTGACAACAACAATGTATATGTATATATCTATATCTAGTCACCCTGAGTCCCAACCAACTTGATGGCACTTAACAACAATAGGGGAAAAGATACAAGCTGTCAAAGATTTCATTTTCCTTGGGTCCCAATCAGTCTTCATGGAAGCAGAGTTCATGAAAGATCCCATAGGACAGGTTTAGTACTGCCCCCTGGGCTTTCCAAGGTTGTCACCTTTGTTGGAACACAGTGCCACCTCTTTCTTCTGGGGAGGGTGTGGGTGGGGGTGCAGAAAGCTTTGCACAGCGTTCTACTCCAGAACAGCAGCTCTGGTCACGTCAAAGCCATCTCTCCAAGGAACCAGACAGACATCCCACAGAAAGACACTGACAATAGCTACAAACTCATCATGTGAAACCAGCCATCAAAAGTGCCTTCGGTAAAACTGAAGCAAGGGAAGGCACATCGCTAGTCTCCATTCCCTATCTTTGTGTTTAATGAGGAAAGGGCTTCAACAATCCTAGACAACTGCTTGGACCCTGGGTTTTAAGGGTGACCTCCAGCGGCTGAAGGCTGCCAGATGGGTTTGGAATTTTGGGAGCCAATCTTCCTTAGCATTATACAGCCCATGGCTTCACAAACAACCTCATCTAGTTCTCACCCATCCGATTTAGCTGACCTGAAGGGAAGGCCAATCTGTTTCCCATAAAATCAGTCATTGAAGACCCTATGGAACAGGGAGCCTGTGAACAGGGTGGAATCACCTCAGAGGTTACCTTGCTTCCAGGGTGTCTGCTATGTTTCTTACAGAGGGCACAGGCGAACAACCAGAACATTGCTGAACCCAAACTCCTTCTTGCTGGCTCCTCAGATGGGACCCCAAACAGACCTGGTTCCAAATGGAGCTTTACCCCTGCAGCCTCACTCAGGCGAACAGACTCAGTGCTGCGGATGCATTCTGGTCAGACGGGTAGAGAGCATAGTCCTCAAAACTCCCTCCTTTTTAGAAAAGATGATCAGAGCATGCCTAGTTTTCCACTATCTCAACTGACCTCAGAGACCTATGTCAGCCACTTAAATCAAGACCCGTCCACCCTGGCTCCAGCTAGTCTTTAGGAATTTGGATCTATTTAGAGAACCTTTTCACACCTCATTCGGAAAACTTTCTTCAACTCAGAGAAAGAGCAAGATCACAGGCATGTGACTTTGCTCAACTGCAAAAAATCATAACAACTACATAGGACTAAGCCCAACGCCCCTCAGGGTTTCCAGGGAGCAGACCCCAGGAAGACCTGCGAGTGCAGAGCTGGACATTGCTACTCTCTGTTGAATCCAGCTCCTTCTGGAATGTTCCTTCCTTTGCCTGTGAGCCAGGGAGGTTTAGCCATGTGACACAGTCATCAGGGCTCAGTGAAACCGCACCTGAAAAACCGCCACTACCCGCGCACGTTTCCTCAGGTGGGATTTGACCGAAACAGCAGAGAGCCCACGTGACAACCTGTGAGGCGTTTACCGTGAGGGGGGCAGTCACTTATTACGGAGGGATCCAGGAAGGACACTTGTCTGGTCCAGTTAAAAGCCTGAGTCCTTACGTCATCAAGCCCCGAGAGTCAAGTCAGCCAACGGGGTGTATTGAAGGTGACGGTTCCATCAGGAAATTCCCATTTTAAGACTCACTGACAAACGAGAAAAATGAGAACACGTCCACACAAAGGAAAGTACGACAGAAAAGTCCAGAAACTCGGAACAGGGAAGGAATCCAAGGAAGTTATTTATTGAACAGAAGCAGAATGCATGACCGAGGGGCTGTTAGCCTGAGGAGACAGTACACAACCGAAGTATGAACATGGCTGTCACACACGCAGAAAAAAATGTTCACTGAGCAGTCCTCCCAAAGGCGGAGCCCGGGCCCGGGGTGAAGAGTTCTCAGAGCTGTGTCCCCAGAACTCTTTTCCAGAACATCTGACCTAAGTCCTCCGCTGCCCGCTGCAGCCCATTTCAGGAAGGCAGGGTCCTCCGTTCCTCAGCTACATGCAGGTCTCTACCTTCGTGACTTTCAGGAGGTGGGGAGGGAACCAAGAAGCCCATTCTCCGGAAGGGAGTCTGAATCCCCAGCGATGTGAACCGCCGTCATCAGCGCTTCATGACATACAAACCAAGCACCTAACACGACGGCCCAGGCCCATCCACGTTGTTGCTAATTACAAAACAGGAAGTCCGCCAACAACGACTCAGCGCCAGGACTAGAGACGTAAAACCCACTTTATAGGATCCGGGCATTTGTCACCTACTCAGAGAGGGGCACGGAGGTGCTCAACCCGCCCAACAAACCGCATTTACACAGGGTGCGTGGCTCTGCACGTCCGCACATGAGCTCGGGAAGACTCAGTTCTCCAGGAAGGCCACGTAGTCCGTCAGTCTGGCCAACTGCTGCTCATTGGGGATGGGCGGGACAGGGGCAGACTCTGCAGGTGGGAGGAGAAACAGGAAGTGAGATACCAGTACCCACTAAGCATGGCCCGGCCCGGTCCCCGGAGGTCTCAGATGGCCCTGATGGGGGAACAATGGGGCCGAGGCGTGGTGTCCTGTTAGGTTGTTGTCCCAGGCCGGAAGAGTGAGTGTGGCTTCGCGGTGGCCGCTGTTGCTGCTGAGTACACCATGTCAGGGCTGGACACACGCTGACTAGTTTCTCACCAGCGGCAGCTGTCCAAACAGGGTCCCTTCCCGCCCACACAGCTTCCACCTGATTTGACCCCCACAGGATCCTTACCAGAGACCACAGAGACCCCTGCCCTCCAGAGCTCACAATCCCTCGGGGTGGTCACCCTGGGCCCCCTGCTGAGTGCAGGGAGCAGCTGCTTCTGGCTGTGACACTTGGGGAGAGGGACAGCACCCCAATGTGAGCTCCAGGGACCAGATGTGCTGCAAACAACCCAACACAATGCTGAGGAGTATGAACAGCAAACACAGAACTACGACTTGGCTCGCAGGATGGGTACAAAGAAAAACTGCAAGCAAGAAGGGCCTTCAAATGACCCGCGGGAAAGCCCGTTACCCTTAGTTCCCGTGATTCACATCGGCTTGAAACTGTCGTAGATGCGCGTTATAAACAGAAAGGAAGAACACAAAATGTTTCCACAACTCCTGTGACGATGCGTACCTGACAGCGGACTGAACCGGTTAAAGGGCGCGTCCAGGACTCCTGCAACTGAACACACAGAATTCAGCCCGATTTACAGAGTGGTCTCTGCACAGGCCCCTGGCCTACGATGTGTCCTGAATTTCTCATAGACAACAGCACGTGGTGTCAGACCTCCACTAGCTGGAGTCCACGGCGGCCGTGTGTACTTTACCAAACTCCGGGGCGGGTGGGTGCTGTGGACCCTGAGCCTGGTCACCAGCAGGGATTGGGACAAGCAGCAGCAGCAGTGAGCCGGCTTGTCAGGGACACAGGACACCTGGCCCCAGGGACCAGATGCAGACAAGGGCAAGAGCACGTGTTTGTGGACCTGAAGGCTGTCCATAGCGTCTACCTGACTCATGTACAAGGGAAAAGGGAAACGGTGGAGAACGTGAGGCAGTCTCGATCCTATGAGGACAGGAACTTGCTGAGTGAGGGAAGGACCCCACTGAAGGGTCACTGGTTCTAATCCCGACCAAAAGACACCTTTCAATCCAAACCCACTGCCGTCCAGCTGACTCAGTGACCCCACAGGACAGACCAGAACTGCTCCAGAGAGATCCTGTGGTAGTCATGTTTTATGGAAGCAGACTGCCACCCCTTTCTCCCGCAGAGCAGCTGGTGGGTTCTGACCACTGACTTTCAGTTAGCAGCCAAGTGCTTAACCGCTGCTCCCCCATGGCCCTTCTGAAGCCCCCTGGGTTCTACTGACACGTTTTCACAGTGAAGGTGAAGGAGGTCCCGTGGGAACTCCTCACTCTCAGGTCACTGTGCGCATCTCCCACGGCTGGATCAGAGAAGCCTGAAGCTGCTCACCGGCACAGGCAGTGTGCCACCTACCTGGCTTTTTGGGCATGACCATTCTTGTGGCGGAGTCAGCGTGCCATCCTTGCTCCAAGATGCCTGCGGACAGACAGCAGACACAGATGACTTCCTAGTGGAAACCGCATACTATCTCCATTCAGCCAGGTCCACACTCCACCATTGACATCCCTTGTGTGGACAGGTCTGGTTTGTTACATACACGGCGTATTTTTACTAAGCAGGTAGGCTGCAGTCAGCACACTCCATCGTAACGGCTTTGAAATATTTCTGAGACATCTGAAAGCTTGAGTGTACTCTGTCTGAGCCGCTACAGCACCACAGCCAGCAGGTCGTGGATTGCTGAACAGAACACGCAGGAGACGGCCACCGCTGGGCCAGCGACATCTCACTACCCTGTGCCCTTTCTAGGCCCTGGGCCCTCAGAGCACACTGTGGTGCCCGGGGAAATCACATGTCAGCAGGAGGACGGAAAAGGATGGTCACTATGACACAGGGTGCTGTCTCTGACAGAGACAGGGGTAGCAGAGTGGGCACCTCCTCAGAAATAACACCTGGAGCGCACACATGTGAGCAGGCTCAAGGGCGAGCCTAGGGAAGACGGCGCAAAGGGATTCTGGGATGAGGCTGCCTTTGCAAGGACGGTGAGAAGATTTCTACATGTGAACAGTGAGTGGAATGAGGGTCTGTGTTCTCTCTCTCTCTCTCTCTCACACACACACACACACACAGGGCAGGGCAGTGAGAGGAATGAGGGTCTGTGTTCTCTCTCTCTCTCTCTCTCTCTCACACACACACACACAGGGCAGGGCAGTGAGTGGAATGAGGGTCTGTGTTCACACACGCACTGAGTACCCACATACACACCTTCAGGGAACACCTCTTCACTTAAGGACGTGATATTGCTGCATCTCCCTGTGACAGCACTTGGTAGGTTGCCCTGAGGTTTGGGGTGAGATCAGATGCCCCGTCTTCCTCTGTCCTCTGCCCTCCCTGTATGTCCATCTCCTGGGCTGATGCCAACACCACCCCCCAACCCCCAACAGCAGGTGATCTTAGAGAAGGCAGGAACTAATGGGGACAGGCCAGGGGACCATGGTGAGCTAGCTGCAGGGAGCGTACGGTGTCTTGATGCACTGAGACATATACACGTTTTTATTTCCACCTAAACAGCAAAGTACTCACTGGCAAAGCTCCTACTCTAATATGCCTTTAAATGGTGCCTCTCTTTGTGTGGTGCTGTAGAATGAAAACTGTACCACTAACCAAAAGGTTAGTGGTTCAAATCCACCACCATCCTCAGAAACCCTATACAGAGCTGCTATGAATTGAAACCAACTCAATGGCACTTCATATCAACAATCCTTGCCAGAAAAGTGCTTCAACGGCAAATCCTGGTCCAAAACCTGTTATCCACAACTCAGAAATCCAAAAGCTCTACAAACCAAATGCTTTTTCCTGGCACTGCTGTGGGTTTATACGTTCCGGGGGCCCCGACTTGGATACGCACAGGCTGTCTTACAGATGTCACTGTGCCCGAGGACAGGGTGGGCCTAAGATTCAAGGGTGGGGGCTGCGTAACGTTTCCATGGCCGCTGAGTCAGTTCCACTTAGGGCCCCAGAGGGCGCGGCGCCAGGCTGTCAGCTTGATGGAAGCAGACTGTCACATCTGTACCCCCGGAGAGCCAGGGGGAGTCTCACTTCCAGCCTTTCAGTTAGCAGCCAAGCACCTCACCACTGCGCCACCAGGGCTCCTTGTCCCCTAACAGTCCAACCTGGGGACGCTGGTGCCTGCCAGACAGGGAAAGCGCAAATCTTTCCTCTAAAGTCAGCAGCACCGCGCCAAAGGAGGCAAATCTGGAAAACTCAGAAAACAAGGCGTCCACCAAATTCCGGCTCCCACAGAACTCCGTCCCATCTCAACAGCACACAGAAGTCTGACTTCCAGACATACCTGGCTCCAAGACTTTAGGGACAGACCAAGACCTCAGACTTCTGCCTGCCACTGCCCTGTGAGGAAAACGTGAAGCCACACTACCTTTCACTGCCTCTTCAACAGGAAGTCCCACAAAGGCAGCAAAGTCGTCAGCGAGGATGGAGGTATACGCCTGGGACACCAGGGCAAAGGCCCGCCGCCTGGTCGCGTCTGTGGAGGAGCAGACAGTAAGTCCGAGAGCAGCCGCCTTCAAAATGCAAACACCACCAGTTCCTGCTGAATTTCCACAGAGCAGCTAGACGCACCCCCTAGACACAGAAGCCTGGGCCTGGATTTTGGGGGACTCCAGTACAACTGGTTCTCCGGACGACACCTAAATCCTCCAGATGACAAGGGAAATCCCACAGATGAAGTAAGTTAGCAAGCGAGACTCAACTCGAAAACCATTTCATTAGAAACAAACTGACGTATGTGAACGTACACTTTTCCTTTCCTGGAGGGACGTAACACAAGCTCATGTAGAGCACACAGCAGAGTGTAAGGTGCAGGCCTCACTAGCCGGGAAACGGAAACGGTTCCCAAGGGTGTGTCCATCGGGCCGCTCACACGTTCACGTTCATGGACACACACGGAAACGATGTGGGAAATCTACATCTCTTCTCCCACCACTCGTCTGTCAGTTCATCATACTGTGGTGGCTTGTGAGTTGCTGTGATTCTGGAAGGTATACCACAGGTATTTTAATACCAGCAGAGTCACCCACGGTGATATTTAAAGTCATTAAGACAACAAGAAAGAAGGAAAAGGTCAAAACAGATGTCAGAAGAGACACTGAAACTTGCTCTCCAGGGTGCAGATGCTAATGCAAATGGAAGAAATGATAAAGTACAAGAGTTGAACAGATCATTTCAAAGGTCAGCTAGAGAAGATAAAGTCAATTATTACAAAGAAATGTGCCAAGATCTGGAGTTAGAAAACCAAAAGGGAAGAACACGCTCAGCATTTCTCAAGCTGAGGGAACTGAAGAAAACATTCAAGGCTTGACTTTCGTTACTGAAGGATTCTCCGGGCAAATGATTGAATGATGCAGAAAGCAGCAAAAGAAGATGGAAGGAATACACAGAGTCACTGTACTGAAAGGAAATGGTTGATGTTCAACCACTTCAAGAGGTAGCATGTGATCAAGAGCCAATGATACTGAAGGAAGAAGTCCAAAGTGCGTTGAAGGAATTGGCAAAGAACACGGCACCAGAAATTGATGGAATAAAAATTGAAATCTTTCAAAAAAGCGAGGCGGCACTGGAGGCACTCACTCATCTCTGCCAAGAAATCTGGAAGACAACTATTTGGCTGACTGACTGGAAGAGTATTTGTGCCCAATCCAAAGAGAGGTGACCCAATGGAATGCGGAAATCATCGGACAATATGTTTGATATCCCATGTGAGTAGTTTTACTAAAGGTAATACAGAAACGGCTGCAAGCATACATTGACAGAGAACTTCCAGAAGTTCTAGCCGGATTCAGAAGAGGATGTGGAACGAAGGATGGATCTTGGCTAAAATCAGAGAATACCAGAAAGAGGTTTACCTGTGCTTTATTGACTATGCAAAGGCTTTCGATTATGTGGCTCTTGACAAGCTATGGACAACATTGCAAAGTATGAGTATTCCGGAACTCTTAATTGTGCTCAGGAGGAATCTGTACATGGACAAAGAGGCAGTTGTTCAAACAGAACATGGCAACACTGAATGGTTTAAAATTAAGAAGGGTGTGTGACAAGGTTGTACTCTTTTACCATACTTATTTTACCTGTATGCTGAGCAAATTATCCAAGAAGCTGGGTTATATGAAAAAAAACGTGGCATCAGGATTGGAAGAAGACTCATTAACAATCTGAGATATGCAGATGATACAACCTTGATCGCTGAAAGTGAAGAGGACTTAAAATACTTATTGATGAAGATCAAAGAGCACAGCCTTCAGTATGCATTGCATTTCAATGTAAAGAAAACAAAAATCCTCACCACTGAACCAATAAACAACATTCTTATCAAAGGAGAAAAGATTGAAGTTGTCAAGGACTTTATTCTTCTTGGATCAACTATCAACACTCACAGAAGCAGCAGTCAAGAAATCAAGGACGTATTGCATTAGGCAAATCTGCTGCACAGGAACTTTTTAAAGTACTGAAGAGCAGAGATGTCAGCTTGAGGACTAAGGTGTGCCTGACCCAAGCCATGGTATTTTCAATAACCTCACATGCATGCAAAAGCTGGACAGTGAATAAGGAAGACCTTAGAAAAATTGATGCCTTTGAGTTATGGTGTTGGAGGAGAATATTGATAGTGCCATGGGCTGCCAAAAGAATCAATAGATCTTTTTTAGAAGAAGTGCAGCCAGAGTGCTCCTTGGAGGCCAGGAATGGCCAAACTTCGTCTCTCATACTTCGGACTTATTATCAGAAGGGACCAGTCTCTTGAGAAGGATATCATGTTTGGTAAGGTGGAGGATCAGAGAAAAAGAGGAAGACCCCCAGCGAGATGGAATGGCAGCATCAATGGGCTCAAGCGTGGTAACAATTATGGGTTTGGCCCAGCATTGGGCAGCGATTCGTTCTGCTGCGCATGGGGCCGCTATGGGTCGTTATGGACTTAGTGGCACCTAACAACAACAACCACAACGTCTCTTTTCAGGAAGGGGGTCTTCCCACCTGGGGCTGCAACGCACTCCCAGGTAGGAAGGACGGGGCCGCCAATCTAGCCCGGCGGCAACACAAAAGCTCTGGGTTTCTTTCCACATCAGCGTGCACAGGAAAGAGTTCACACAGGGCTGGGAGAACGAGTCTGTACTTCACCTCCCACATGGACACGCCTCACTGATGAGCCCCTCCAGTCCTAGCCCCATTGCTGGCCCTCACACAGCTCGGCTCGGCCCCAACCCGTCCTGTTCAGCTGACTCTGGGGACAAGCACAGAGCTGCGCTTGGCACCACTGTAGTCCACTCCTTTTGTCGCCGGGTGGACACAGAGGCCAGGGTCACCCTTACTTCCTGTATCAACAGGGCGAGGGCAGGCGAGGGACTAGCAGGGAGACACTCAGACACAAGAGGTCACCGTGGGGATTTCGGGAGGCTGGCAGCAGGTGTAGGGGTGAGGGCAAGTTCCTCTGGTGGAACATGACCTCCCCGCCACAGCTTCCATTCTTTCAGGCCAGTGCCCAGGAGCGTGTGAGTTTCCACAGCCTAAACTGATGCCCTGTGAAATGCACACACCCAGGACAGGTCCACAGGGCCCAAGCACAGCGCGTGTCCTGGAATAGAGCGTTCCAATTGCAGCATCCAAGACGTCCGTTTACTATTAGCAACAAAGCAACCTAGGCCAACAAGAGCAACTGAGTCAGCAAGGCCCCTAACTGCGGAACCCTCTCAACAGCCTGAGGTAAAGGAGCAGGTCTACACCCAAACTGCTCCTCCGTTACCCACGTGAAGGACCCCATCCACCAGGCAGTCCCAGCTACCTCTTGCACCCCGCTGGCGTCCTCCCACCGCAGTGCTTGGGGACTGGGTCTGCCCAAGGATGCGCACACCCTAGCAGCTCTACCTCTCAGGGCGTCCATGATGGGCTGCACCGCCTCCGACCACTGGTGAGCACCGATGGCCATGTAGATCCCAGGGAAGTCTCGCTGCCAGATCCTCTGTCCCACGGACCAGATCGCCCCCAGTTCAGAATGTGCCTGCAACACACGGTCCTGCCTTCAGGGCTCTCGCTGCCGACTTACCAGTGCGGCAACTTAAGACATTATAGCAGACACAACAGAACTAGCTCACTACCAAAGAGGCTTGTCAATACTGTGCAGACAGACACATACGTTCACTGGCCTGTGATACGAGTTTCTATCATAACAGCAAATGAAAGCCTGAGAAAACAGCCCCGATCATTTCAGACATAAAGCCTGGGAATTCATTTCCTTAAACAGTTTAGAGTATTTCCTTTATAGATTATACACACACACATACACACAAATACAGACAAAACACAAAAGTGAAATACAAGTAAAACATCGCTCTGTATGAGGAAGCTTCAAAAGCCGAGAGAAAAATGGAATGAAAAAACAGAATTTTCAACGAACTTCTGAAGTGCCCTCCCTCCACCCTCCGCCACACTTGCAGACTGCATTTATGAGAAAAGTAGAGTGACAAAGTGGCTAACACAGACCCTAAGTGGAAGACAGGGTCTTCTGTGGCTCCTGGTGTCAAAGGCTACCAGGCTCAGTGTCTCCAGCGCATTCTCTGTTTACAGCTGCGCCGTGCAGGGGCAGCGGACCGAGGGGCTGCAGATGGACAAGCCACACTGCAGACAAGCACTGGGCAGGGGCAGTGGACCAAAGGGCTGCGGAGGGACAAGCTGCGCCACGGACAAGCACTGATCTCATCGGCTTCAGAGCAGCAACGACACAATAACAAGCCAGCTACAGTGTGAGTCTTACGGGCGCTGGCCACAGAAAACCAATCACATGAAACGAGAAATCTGCCACGTTCCGTGTTGGAAGACACCTTTATGAGGTGATTTAATCTGACCTCCCAAGCAAACGAAGAACCCTAAAATACAGGCTATCAAAATGACGTTAATGCCAGTAAGGCACATGATCGTATCTTAGAAAATGGTGGTAATATACTGGCTTCAAATTAAGTTCCATTTTGGAAAAGTACACCAATACATCTATCCCATGTCAACTGGCTCACATGTGGAATTTACTGGGGGTGGGGTGGGGGATGGGAGTCACTCAGCTGAGAAGTGTCTCAGGAATTCTGGCCAGCTGGACATAAGCAGAGATTCCCGCACCATCTAAGAGAAGGGCCCATTTGTGGTTACAAGAATTTGAAGATCTAGTATTGAACTTGAGTACTAAATATTTAATGACGACTTCTGTGAATGTCATTACTATAGTAAAGTAGTAATTATATTGAAAGGATACTTACAGATTTGATAGCAGGTGGTATTCTTTTCCAAAGATATCTTGCATTATTCCTAAATGTGACCACCCCAAGAGAAAACAAAGATCAACAACAAAAATAAGCATCTCCATTATTGTTGACATTTTCAAAACTCCAATACAAATACGCAGACGCAGACTCTGACATGAGTCCTGGTTGTGCTGCAGGATACGCACTCAGCTGTTAACCGCAGGGTCCCCAGTTCAAACCCACCGCTGCTCCTTGGGAGAAAGATGGAGCTTTCTACTCCTGTAAACATTGATAGCCTTGGAAATCCTATACAGGGTCACTATGAGTCAGAACTGACTCGATGGTACACAACCAAAACAACAACATAACCTAAGATGGAGTCCTGGTGTGGTGCTGTAGGATAAGCACTGGGCTGCTAACTGTAAGGTCTGCAGTTCAAACCCACCAGCCACTCCTGGGAAATCCTATGCAGGGTGGCTCTGAGTCAGAATTGACTTGACAGTACTTAACAACAATACTCTAAAATATTCTACACAACAGAATGCATTGTTCTATGAATGTGTTCAGGGGACACAGAAGTGGTTTTCCAGATAAAAATACATGGAATATTTCTACCAAAAAGTCACATTCTGTCACACTGTGACTTTATTAAGATCTAGGTCCTATGTTATGGCAGCAGTACATTAAACACACAAAGACTGAAACAGAACCAGTGTGCAGTAAATGTATTCCACTGTGAATGTGAACCCGTCTGCACTAGCGAGGCCCCAACACTCCCCAGCAAGCTGTATGGCACGTAGTGCATTTCTCCCCATTCAGGTATGTGCACTGCCCTGGTATCTCATGTTTACGAAGGTATGGAACTGAAAGAGATTTGGACGACTGAAACAAAATGTGATCGTAGTTATCAGTGGGTTGTACAACTATTGGGGACACCTCTGCTTTGCACAGCTGCGCTTGCTGAGTTTTCTCCAGTGACCATAAAGAAGGAAGAAAAACACACAAGAAATCTCATACACTTTCTTCGTAATAAAGTTGTCTTTAGATGTCTCAAAAAATTCTCCCTCTAAGCATCTCTTGGACTACCAATTAAATGGAAATCCACAGAGGCCAGGCTGTTGTCGGTTCCAATCCACAGACTCTGTCTAGGATTTCCGAGGAGCAGCTAGTGAGCTTGAACCGTCAACCCTGTGGTTCAAACTGACTTTGCAGTCCAGCGCATTAACCCACAGCACCCACCTGGACTCCACAGAGGCCAGTAAGTTAGAAAAAAAAGTCAACAGACATTAAGGAGTTGACAACGTAGCTTCTCAGACCCACTTGAAATATTTTAGAAGGTATGTGTAAAACAAGGAGTCTGAATGGGGCAGCAGGCTAACTGGGCTGTTCAGGACACGATTGGTGGTTCGAAGCCACCAGCTGTTCCGTGGAGAAAGCCTGCGAGCTCTGGAAGCGCCAGGGGACATTTCCAGTGTGTCCTTCAAGGCCGCCATGAGCTGGAAGGGGCTGCATGGCAGTGTGCTTGGGGGCAGAGGCAAAACCAAATAATTCAAGGAGCCCTGGTAGCATAGTGGTTACGAGTTGGGCTGCTAATCTCATGGTCGGCAGTTTGAAACTACCAGCCATTTCTCAGGAGAAAGATGAGGCTTTCTGCTTTACAGCCTCAGAAACCCTGTGCAGGGTCGCTATGAGTCGGAACCTACTGCAGGGCACGTAACTGCCACCAATCCTAATTCCCGCAGGTGTGCTCGGTGCAGGAGACGTTACAAGGCCGGGCTCTGAGCGCTATTTTGACAAAAGGGCGCAGCTGTGTCCCTGGGGACTCCGTCCCCTGTAGGGAGAAGGTACGTACATGTCATTGTGGAGCAGGTACAAAGCCAGGAGCTGACCGTACACCGGGGCTGTAGCAATTCCTCCAGGAGCCTAGAAACCCAGAAATGACAAAGAAAAAGCACAGTCATTTATATGTTATCTTTTTATTAAAAACAACAACAACAACAGTGCAATGAGCCCCCAGGGTAGGAACAGCTGTGTTACGGACAACTCATACTTCAGGACAGACTGCCATAAAGCCTGCTGTGTTGTGTTGCCTACTGTGGATCACAATAACGGGCGAACCCACGCACGGCTTTGGGATGCGCAGGACAACACTACAGGCTCCGGCGGCTTCTCAGCTCGAGGAAGAAGACCGTCCGCCCCCAATGCCGCTAACACTGCGCTGAACGTGCAACATCATAAGTGGCTTGCTTTTCCTCTTATCAACATCAAAGAAAAGGAAAGCAATTACAATGAAAATAAGCGGTAATAATAAAGTGAGGAGACTGGACCATGATGGGCACAATGCTAACAGATCACGTGAGACTCCTGGAGCACGTGACAGGCTCTGCAGGAAGTAGGACAGGTGTGTAATGACGGACAGGAAGCATGCCTCTGGGCCTGACTTCAGAGCAAGGGAAGGCTCCAAGCTGTGTCAGTGATGTAGCAAGTGCAGGTGACTGTACTCAGGGAACCAATGCTGAGCTGGGTGTGGGCTCATGGTTTCAAAGTGACGGCACATATGCAGTGCTAAGGGTTAACTGTGAGGAGGCATGTGCACAGGGTTAAAGGTTCAGAGTTAGGGCACCTGTGCAAAGCGTTACGGAGTTCAAAGGGATGGCGCCGGTGCACAGTATTGAAGGGCGAGGTGAAACTGCAGCAGGGCCAATGTCAGTGCGACAAAGTCACTAAGGAGGGAGGTGATTTGCCAGACCAAGTGTTTAATAGTGGGAAAAATGCCCGAAAGGACCTGTGTTTCAAAGTAAGGAAAAAGCGCACCAGGACACAGGCACTGAAGGAGGGGCAGGCTAAGGTTACTGCTTGGAGGTAGCACATCCAGGATTTCAAGCTCAGGCCTCTGCTTGTGTGCTGTGCTGTTATCTAAGTCGGAGGGCACTTCGTCATATGACTACGGCATGTCTTCCTTTGTCACAACTGCCATCTTGTTCTGCTGCTGAACAGCTGCTTGGCCAAGACAATGCCTTTCAAGATCCCCTGAGCTTAACAACACACCGGGACAGCCAGGCCTTTAGATGACTTTCCCCGTATAGAGGTCCTACTTCCCCATATCACTACTTCAGTCAGAAGGCCCCGAGTCATCACCTCCTTCCGGCCTCTATTTACGCGGGCCCTTCTCACAGCACATGGGGCACATGTGTGGGAGTTGTGGAGGGCTGACAACATCAACGACACTGTCAATTCTTAGGATGAAGAGAAGCAGTCAAATATGAATGGAATGTGGAACATCTCATGCCCTGATTTGCACATGCTTTTCAGGGGTCTACCCCTGACATCATCTGTGATATGTTGGTGGTATAACCTTGCTTGCTGAATGGGGACTTGAAACACCGATGAAGCTCAATGAACAGAGTCAGTGTGTTGCACCTCAATGTAAAGAAAACAAAAAATTCTCACCACGGGACCAATAAATAACATCAAGATAAATGGAGAAAAGATTGATGTTGTCAAAGACTTCATTTTGCTTGAATCCACAATCAACACACATGGAAGCAGGTGTCATGAAATCAAATGTCATATTGTGCATTACACAAATCTGCTGCACAAGACCTCTTTAAAGTGTTCAAGAGCAAAGATGTCAGTTTGAGGCTAAAGGTGCACCTAACCCAAGCCATGGTATTTTCAGCCACCTCACATATGTATGTGAAAGCTGGACAATGAATAAGGAAGACTATAGAATAATTAATGCATCTGAATTATAGTGAAGAAGAGGAATGTTAAAAATACCTGGACTGCCAAAAGAACAAACAGGTCTATTGCTGGAAGAAGTTCAACCAGAACGCACCTTAGAAGCGAGGATGGTGAGACTTCATCTCTCATGGTCTCAGTCCCTGGAAAAGGACATCATGCTTGGTACAGTGGAGGGTCAGCAAAAGAGGAAGCCCCTAATGAGATGACTGACACCGTGGCAGCAGCATCGGGCTTACACATAACAACTGCTGAGGATAGTACAGGAACGGACAGTGTTTCGTTGTGTTGTACACATGGTTGCTATGAGCTGGAACAGACTCGACGTCACCTAACAACAGCTGATATCTCAGCGAAGATGGACAAATTGTGGCTGATGCTGGCGTTCACCTGCAGTTAGACGTCAGTGGGAGAGGTATGGGAGACATACTCAATGCCCACGCCAGAGCACGGACCAGAGAAGACCTAGGCCGGCAGCAGCAGATGAGAGCATTTTAGGACCAAGGCTGGGACTGAACAGTTCCAGAACTGAAAAAGCTTTTACGGAAAGAGTAAGCTGAAGCCTTTTGCCTCGCTGAAGCAGGGGTGGCCAAGTTAGAGGGGCAGGGTCCTAATACACTGACCAAGGGCTTGGCTGCTACCACAAGGCTATGTAGGATGAGAGAAAGCTCGATACAAACCTCCCGTGATGACGCCAGGAGGAAATCCCATACTTTCCAACAGCACGCCCGTCATCCTCAGGGCTGCTCATCACTGCTGGTTACCAGAGCTTGGCCGAACACACAGAATACCAGAAAGATCTTTACTTGTGCTTTCCTGACTAAGCCAAGACATTCGACTGTGTGGATCCCGACAAGTTATGGTCAACACTGAGAAGAATGGGAGGCCAGACTCGGCTCACCACGAACCTGTCCTAGACCAAGAGACAGCTATTCAAAGGGAACAAGGGGATGCTGACAGGCTTAAACCCAGGAAAGGTGCTCATAAAGGGTGTAGCCTTTCACCAGACTCATTCAACCTGTGGCTCTGTAGGCTAAGCACTGCACTGCTAACCACAAGATGAGCGGTTCAAGTCTACCAGCTGCTCTAAAGGAAAAAGATGATGCTTTCTGTTCCCACCAAGATTTACATCTTTGGGAACGCTATGCACTGTCACTATGAATTGGAATCAACATGATGACACTTAACAACCTTCAACCTGTATGCTGAGCACACAATCTGAGAAGCTGGGCTATATGAAAAACATGGCATCAAGATTGGAAGGAGACGCGACTCGTTAGCAACCTGCGATACATAGATGACTTTGTGAGGGTGAGGAACTCTAACAGCATGTAATGATGAAGATAAAAGCCCCCATCCTCAGTGTGGACCTCAACAAACAGACAGCAAAAATCCCCACAACTGGACCGACAAACTTCTTCATGACAAATGGAGAACATGTTCACGTTACTTGCCTCCACAATGAACTCCCATGAAATCAGCAGTCAAGAAATCAAATGAGGTAGTGTGCACTGAGCAAATCTGCTGCAAATGACCTTTTAAAAGCGCTAAGTAGCAAAGATGTTTCTTTGAGGACTCTGGTGTGCCTGACCCTAGCCATGGTATTTTCAATCACCTGGCACTGTGAGCTAACGTGCCAGACCGCGAAGTTGTTTGAACTGCAAGGTCGGCGGTTCAAGCTCATCAACTGCTCCTTGGAAACCCTCTATACAGGGATTGCTATGTGTCGGAATTGACTCGACAGCACTTAACAACATATGTATGGAACACAGGACAATGAATAAGAATCCTGAAAAATAAATGGTGCCTTGAAATTTTGGTGTTGGTGAAGAATACTGAATATACCATCGCCTGTCAGAAGAACAATTACATCATGATGGAAGCAGTAGTCAGAATGCTCCTTGGAGGCAAAGATGCTGAAACATGGGCTCACAAACTTTGGACACGCTGTCAAGCGGGACCAGTCCTTGGAGAAGGCCGTCATGCTCGGTAGAGCAGAGGTTCAGCAAGAAGCAGGGAGACCCTTAACCAGATGGGCTGACACAGGGACTACAAGAAGGAGCTCAAACACAGCAATGAGTGTGAGAGGGCTTCAGGGCCGGGCGGCACTTCCTGGTGTGCATATGGTTGTTGTGAAGTGGCTTATTCTGTTTAATATGCTTTAGTGTATTTGAAAGTGTTTCTTTTTAAGTGATTTATATGTACTGTTGTTCTTATGAAGTGTCGTTGAGTTGGTTCCGACCAATAGCGACCCTGTATAGGGTTTCCGGGGAGCAGCTGGTGAACTTGAACTGCAGACCTTGCAGTTCAATGGCTTTACAATCTGGCGCATTAACCCGCAGCACCGCCCCAGGCCTCCTTTCATATGTATGGTGGTGGTGATGTGATGCGGAGCCGGTTCTGACCCATAGCGACCCTGCACAGGGTTTCCGACGCTGCAAATCTTTACGGGAGCAGAAAGCCTCATCTTGCTCCTGCAGAACACTGGTAGAAAGCTGGTCAAACTGCCAACCTTGAGTATAGAAAAATTAAACACATACTCTAGACAAAGGCAGACATTTCACCAACTGAAATAGAAAAAAGCACTGCATGTACCTGTTGTAACTTACCCACAAATGTCACATAAAGACAGATGGAATGAATCTGGTTTCTAACCCAGGGGTTGCTTGTTTTATTCATCTAATGTATATTTTGTAGCCCTAGGATAAGCACTGGACTGCTGATCATCAGCCACTCCTCGGAAACCTTATGCAGGGTCACTGTGAGTCAGACCCGACTCCCTGGCATACCAACAACAAAACAACTAGGTACCGTTAACTCTTAGTAAAGACAAAATGGTAATGTTACTTCATAATAATATGATGGGATAACTGGGGCTTTCTGAATTAGGAAAAGTTCCCCCCCTTGGTGTGTGTGTGTGTGTGTGTGTGCCCCTGCACAAATGTCTTTCATAATAAAACCCAGACATCTTCTCCTCCTGGGCAATGGGAAAGCAAGCAGTAGGACTAGTTAATAAAACTAAAAACCCGACTGGGGCTGTTAGGCGCAAAGGTGCACGGGAGAGTTTGCTCTGATGTGTGTACTGCCTTACAAGACAACGAATTTAACGACAATAACAAAGCTGTCTTTGAAAACGCTGAATGAGCCAGACTGCAAAGCCGATTAAACTGCAAGGCTGGCGGTTCAAGCCCACCAGCTGTCTTTCGGAAACAGGGTCGCTATGGGTCGGAACTGACTCGACGGCACTTACCAACAACAAATGCTTCGAAACGAAGACAACACCATTAGAACGATTCCCTGTGTATAACGATCATTAATTACCCTCACAGAGGCCGAGCAAAAACCGTTAACAAAATACTGGTCACAGAAGCCAGGTCAAGGTTTCACCTTGTTGTTGTTGTTAAGTGCCGTGGAGTCGGTTCCGACCCATAGCGACCCTGTACAGGGTTTCCGAGGCTGTAAATCTTTACGGGAGCAGAAAGCCTCATCTTTCTCCCGCGGAGCAGCTGATAGTTTCGAACTGCTGACCTTGCGGTTTGCAACCCGATTCATAACCACTACGCTACCAGAGCTCCTTAAGGTTTCACCTGGGCGCACAAAAGTTGAAAATTCGCTGTGGTCAGGAAAGAGGGTCCCAACTGCACCGAAGCAAATACAGGCGTTCAGACATCGTCGTTGTAGACACGCGTCAGCATCGGAAACAAGCCCACCCCGAGGTAAACGGACACTATGGCCAGACGACAGCGGCCGGAGCCAGGCGTCCAGCCCGATACCCGCGGAGGCCGCCCCGGCCCCGCCAGCCCCAGGAGCCGTGGTCCAGGCACCCCGGACCGGCCGACCACACCAACCCGAATCGCTACCTCGAGCTCCTGGTTCTCGCACTGATCCAACAACTTTTTGAAATTGAAGGCGCTTTCCGCCATCACCGCCACTGGCATCTTCCCCGTCGGTCACACCGCCTCACCTTCCCGAAAGCAGACCCAGGACTGTCCCTAAGGTAGTCGCATGGGCGATGACGCAAGAGCCTTAGGTATTGAACGAACGTTACAACGCACGCGCGCCGGTCTTGGGGCGCGTAGTTAAACGTTGATGCGTCTGGGCGGAGTCGTAACCGCTCTGGCCGGCCTCTCTGATGCTCTGGAGGACTCGCCCTGGACTAGCCGGAAGTCGTCGTAGGGAATCAGGGTCGATTTCAGAAGGGGAAGAGTTTTGTAGCTGCTTGCAGACGCCTTGTGAAGACAACCCATACATTCAAAATACTGACAATAAACACGCAATAAGAGAAGCTTCTCTAGAAGCACAGTGAAACGTGTAATAATAGCACGCCCCGCTCTCCTAGCCAATGCTTTATCATGCACTACAATGCTCTACACTTACCCTCAAGTCCCTTGACTCATAGGACTCTGTGAAGGGTTTTCTAGAAGTAGCTGGTGAACTTGAATCACCGATATTGCAGTTCAAACTGGCCTTGCAGTCCAGCAGTAGTTGTTCAATAAATGTTTGTTTGTATTCAGCAACCGGCTTGAAGTATCTTATACTCAGTGTTTTAGAAAAATGAACAAGAATCTCTTTTTTTAATTCCCATAGTGCCTTCCAGCAAGATGTTAGGTGGCATGGCTTTGGTTCCCAATCATAATGACCCTATGTTCAACGGACCAAAACACTGCCTGACCCAGCACCATCCTTACAAGTTTTGTTCTGCTTGAGCCCACTGTTTCTAATATGGCACCAATCCAATTGTTGTGGGTCTCTCCTGATAATATGTCTGAAGTACCAGACTGTACCTGGACCCAGAGAAGGTTGTTCAAACAGAACATGGTAACACTGAATGGTTTAAAATTAAGAAAGGTGTGTGACAGGGTTGTATTCTTTCACTCCAATAAACAACATTCTTATCAATGGAGAAAAGATTGAAGTTGTCAAGGACTTCATTCTTCTTAGATCAACTATCAACACTCATGGAAGCAGCAGTCAATAAATCAAATGACGTATTGCATTAGGCAAATCTGCTGTACAGAACTTTTTAAAGTGTTGAAGAGCAAAGATGTCAGCTTGAGGACTAAGGTGATGGAAGACCATAGAAGAATTGATGCTTTTGAGTTATGGTGTTGGAGGAGAATATTGAAAGTGCCATGGGCTGCCAAAAGAACCAATAGATCTGTGTTGGAAGAAGTGCAGCCAGAGTGCTCCTTGGAGGCCAGGATGGCCAAACTTCATCTCTCATACTTCAGACATATTGTCAGGAGGGACTGGTCACTGGAGAAGGATATCATATTTGGTAAGGTAGAGGGTCAGAGAAAAAGAGGAAGACCCCCAGTGAGATGGATTGGTAAAATGACACCATCAGTGGGCTCAAGTATGGCAACAATTGTGATGTTGGCCCAGGACTGGGCAGTGTTTCATTCTGTTGTGCACAGGGTCGCTATGAGTTGATACTGACTCGATGGCACTTAACAACAACAACAACAATAACTAGAGACAACGTCTCTCCATCCTGACTTCTAATGAGAATTCTGGCTGCACGTCTTCCAACACGGATCTGTTTGTTCTTTTGGCCATCCAACACCACAACTCCAATGCATCAATTCTTCTACGGTTTTCCTTATTCACTGTCCAGTTTTTGCATGCAAATGAGGTTATTGAAAATACCATGGCTTGGGTCAGGTTAACCTTAGTTCTCAAGCTGATATCTTGGCTCGTCAACACTTTAAACTGGTCTTGTGCAGCAGATTTTTCCAATGCAGTATGTCATTTGATTTCTTGATTGCTGCTTCCATGAGTGTTGATTGTTGATCCAAGCAAAATGATGTCTTTGATAACTTCAATCTGTTCTCCATTTATCATGATGTCATTTGTTGGCCCAGTGGTGAAGATTTTGTTTTCTTTACATTGAGGTGCCACCCATATTGAAAACTGTGGATTTTGATCTTAATCAGTAAGTATTTTAAGTCCTCTTCACTTTCAACACTGTAACGTTTTGAGAAAAACAACAACACATTTTGATGACACCAAACAGGGGTAGTAACTGATGTATAACAAATTTATAGTTTATGGTTGAGTAAATGATAAGGATGTTCCACGTAGGGAATGGCAAGAATGATCCCTGAAAAAAAGTTTGTGCACACAGTTTGTTCTTGTCACTAGGTGCCATCAAGTCGATTCTCACCCATGGTATGTTCAACAGAACGAAACACTGCATGGTCCTGTGCTATCCTCACAATTGTTGCTAAGCTTGAGATCATTGCTGCTGCCACTGTACCAATCCATCCTGTTGGAAGTCTTCCTCTTTTTTTGTTGACCCTTGCCTTTACCAAGTACGATGTCCTTCGCCAGGGAGAGGTCCCTCTTGATAATATGTCTGAAATATGAAAGACAAAGTCTCTCTATCTGACTTCTAAGGAGCTTTCTTGCTGTAGCTTTTGCAACACAGATTTGTTGGTTCTGGCAATCCATGGTACTTTTAATATTCTTCTCCAACACCATAACTCAAATGCATAGATTCTTCCTTATTCATTGTCCAACTTTCACATGCATATGAGGCTATGGAAAATATCATGGCTAGGGTAAGGCATATGTTAGTCCTCAAACTGACAGCTTTGTTCTTAAACACTTCAAAGAGGACTTGTACAGCAGAATTGCCTAATGTAATGCATCATTTGGTTTCTTAACTACTACTTCCATGATTGTTGATAGTTCATCCAAGCAAAATGAAGTCTTTGACAACTTCAATCTTTTCTCCATTTATCATAATAATATTTATGGGTCCAGTGCTGAGGACTTTTGTCTTCTTTAGATTGAGGTGCAACCCATACTGAAGTCTGTGGCCTTTGATCTTTGTCAGTGTTTCAAGTCCTCTTCAGCTGCATATTGCAGCATGTAATGAGTCTTTCCCCTATCCTGATGCCACGTTCCTCTTTTTAGAATCCAGTTTTTCACATTATATGTTCAGCATACATGTTTAATAAGTATGATGAGTGGATACAACCCTGGCACATGACTTTACTGATTTTAAACTATCCAGAGTCCCCTTTTTCTGTTGAACAATTGTCTCTTAGTCTATGTAAGGTTCTTCATGAGCACAAGTATGCATCTGGAACACCTATTCTTTGCAATGTTGTCCATAGTTTGTTATGATCCACACAGCCAAAAGCATTATTTCCATAGTTAATAAAGCACAGGTTAACATCTTTCTGGTATCCTCTACTTTCAGCCAAGATTCATTTAATGCTGTCAATGATAGCCTTGGTTGTATATCCTCATCTGAATCCAGCCTGAAAATCTGACAAGTCCCTGTCAATGTACTATTGCTGTCGTTTTTGAATTATCTTTAACAACATTTTGCTTGCTTGTGATATTAATAATATTCTCGGATGATCTCTGCATTCCATTGGGTCACGTCTCTTTGGAATGGGCACAAATATGAATCTCTTCCCATCAGTTAGACAGGTAACTGCCTTCCAAATTTCTTGGCATAGATGAATGAGTACCTCCACTACTGATTAGTTTGTTGAAAGATTTCAATTTGTTTGCCATCACTTCCCAAAGCCTTGTTCGCAGCCAACATCTTCAG